AAGAGTCAGCCTGGTCGGAGTTAGCACGTTTGCATAAAACGCCACAAATTGAGCTGATTTTTATTTAAACATTGATTGGCTGAGCCATGGGCATTAATGGATAGGCTCTAATAGTGGTGCCTTACAAAGATAAAGAGCCACACAGACAGTTAGGATAATTTACACGCCACTTACAGCACTAGTATACAAATAAATCTGTGGAAACTCCACCACTGTTGCTTTTGCGAAGATGACAAACACAAGCACAAACGCCATTATCATTGATCGCAGGGCTTTTATTACCAACTTCCTGAAGGAAACAGGTTTATTTTTTCATCTCAAGCTAAAGCGAATAAATTAACATGCAAAATAGATAGAATTTGTTTTATACTGAAAGTCAATCTCGCAGCATGGAGACAGGACATTTTTCTCCCCAAACGACTCCATCCTGCCTGCAGTGAACAATGATCCTCAGGATGACAGAGTGAGTCTTAAAGAGGGACTGGAGTCAAACGCAGGCCTCTCAATGACACCCTCAAGGTTAGGAGCCCAATGCTGTTTTAATGTGAAACTGGCCTTTTACCCTCGATATGAAAAAAATACTGCAGTTATGAATAATTGTTTACAGCAATGAAGGACTTGGTTTACTAAACGATTCTCCATAGGATGCCAATAGCTGTGTACTGTGTACATTAATGCACACAGGCATATCTACACTAGGGTTGAACATCTCTAGCATGAGGCCGATACTATACGCATCTTGATGGACAACTGTCCATCAACTGTCCAAAATCCGATGTATTTATGATACATTGGTAGCGTCCCAACCGATACCATTAGGACACAATTCAAAACTCAATCATGATGCACTGCGATTCAACAAAACCTGATTCAGAAAAGTGCTATTCACAACGATTCACAATTCAATCACAATACACTATGTCACACACTACGATTCACAATTCAATCACAATACACTACACAAGAGTGTGATTATTTAGTAATCAAATATAATTACGGTTGAGACATTTTTGTATCAGAAAAAGAAAATAAGTTAGCCTCTCACAAAGAGGTCTCCCGTAGCTGTTTATAAAAGATAACATGTAAACTAGATTCCACAATCATATGCTGTTGTAAACAAAACAAAAAAAGTCTCACTTTGAAACAGTCATAACAATTGCTTAGCATTATATGTGCTGTGGGCATGTGCAAACAGAGGTAAATTATTTAATAACTCAAAAGACAATTGTGTCAACAGAACATCTTAAAGCCATCCAGAACAGTCCACAACGGTTTAAGCCAGATGTTCTACTTTCATATTTCGTTCTCAATAACAATGTAATAGTGGATATATTTACATATAACAAAGGCTATTGGGTCATTTATTGTCTTAGCAAGGGTACGTTGGAAAAAGCTTTTTATACGTCGCTCACCTCTCTTTCCGGGCCGAGGCCTTCACCGTCACTGTGCAGTCGCTTCCGGTTACTAATATGGCTTGTGGTGCTATCTGTGTAGCATACAGCGGCACGGAACATTTTGTAACTTGTGTCTGAGTTCACGGGTTTTCCCATTTCGTGATAAAATACGTAATATTGCCAAACGTTTGATTTTTAATGGAAGACAGGTAACAGGTGAACACATAACACTCTCTGTTTCCGCTTCCGCCTCCGCCATGTTTGTTTTGAACAGCGCGCCCACGTCCATCAATGCACATACAATAGTACACATCCGCGGTGCACGTTAACGTAACTTAGATCCTATTTAGTCGTAGTCAAAAAGGTCCACAATTAACATCTTATTTGGTTTGTTACATGTAAACATAAATGCAGAAACCATTCGATGATTAATTGCTTTAATAATCAATGCATCTCGATTTTATTTTCTTTTTTCTTTTATTTCATAATGCCCTATCCCTAACATACACACATTTCACAGTGACAGGGCAGGAAGATCACCTGTTAAAGCCTCTGCACCAACTGTTGCTCACCCGTATGTACTATGTACCTTGTGCGTGAGAGGGTTGTTTGCATGTATTGCACAGTCGCGTTGTTGTTTGTCTGTTTGTGTGGCCCTTTGATGCACGAGTGAGTTCTGTCCAAGATGTACTCTGCTGTCAACCACTGACTGCTGTGATTGGCTCGAGCTGTCCCTGTGACCTTGAACAAGATTAAGCAATAAAATGGCACACGCTGCCCTCTCCACGGCCCTGACCTCCACCTCCCAACCTTCCTCCAACCCCAGGACCAGCCTCTCTACATCAGCCACCAGACCTTCATCCATACTTCCACCAAAGACATACAGAACAGAGTCCAACCCGATGGAGCAGTGACTGTGTCTGGACTTCACACACCTTAATAAAAACATTACATTTCTTAGCACTATCCTTTATCAACACATATCCTTAACCTAACCCCAAACCTAAAAGAAGACCTCGAACCTCTAAAATATTATTCATATTATTATTATTATGAACAAACTGTTTTCCTTTGAGCATAAAGTTTAAATAAAAAAACCAACAGAAGCACTCAAGTAAAGTAGTGGTTCCTCAAAACTGTACTTCTGCCACAGTAAATGTTCTGTAATACTTTTCACCTCTGAAAAAAATCATATACCGAATAATATATACAGATAGTCCTGTGTATGTGTGTGTGTGTTTGTGTGTGTGTGTATGTCTGCGGTTTGGAGATGGAAGGAGCTGCAGTGTCAAAAGTGAAAAGCTCAGAGGAAAATTGAAGGCCCATAATGGAAGCATAATGGGCTTAGTGTCAGAGTCTTGCAGACATGCTGGGGGGAGACACCCCTGCCGTCACCCTCTCTTACCTCAAGCCAGTGTAGCAAGGCATAGGAAACAAGGAGGAGACAACAATGGGGCCCAAACAGGCTTTAGAGATACAACAACAGCCTAATGGCAGGATGTGGATGGAATTCATAACAATGAGACGATCGCGGGTTGTCTCTTTGTGGGATTGTAGTGCGTCACGTCTCCGTACTCAGGTTGAATAATAAATTGTTTCCTCTTAAGGGTTGTAGGATTCCTCCTAAAAAATGAAACAGACACACACTTTTTTTGTGTTATACAATAAATTCAAAGTCATAATATATTCCCTGTTTTAACTATTATAAATATATGCCTAATCTTAATCCTCTCCTCATATCAGATCTCATCTGAATTATAAATCTATAAAACTTCAGGATACATTTAGAAATTACAATTTTACACACTGGGGACCTGCAGAATGCCATGACAGGGAAATTGTTTATATTTAATTATGACACCCTTTGAAATGCCAACATTTGTCTCAGGACTTTTTGATTTACCTCATTTGTGCCGATTCTAAAAATGGGACCAATAGGATAAAGAAAACACATATTTAAAAAATGATATAAATTGATGGTATGGACAACAACAGGACTGGTAAAAAAAAAGACAATAAATAATTGGAGCGAATCAGAACTTGATCAAAAGACTGTCCAGAAGAGGTCACTAAACAAGTGTGAAACACACATCTACCTGTTGTTATGATGTAAGTCCCACAGTACGGACCAACCGGCTGTGAGTAAAGAGCTGTCAGTGATGGATGAACACAGCGGCCCGGTGATCTGACGTGACACAGCTACAGATACAGATACAGTCGTCACACAGACAAATTTTAATTCGCCTCGTGTATTGCACAGCTCACTTACGTCTCTATTCGCAAGTACAGTGCTGAAGCTGTCAGTGCACAAATTGAAGGTGAAGGGCTGTCCCTGGTGTGGACTGCCAATGCTGGGTAGACCTTCTACTGCTGTTGTACGTCTGTGAGTGACTGACAGGCTGCAGCCTGACATGTGGAGGGGTTTATCTAAGTCCTGGTGTCAAAGCAGATTAGTGAGGCTTTAAGTAAAGGCTGGGGGAGAAGAGCAGGAGTGAAACAAGGCAGTGGCTCAGAGAAAAAAAGAGATTTGTCGTGAACAAAATGTGCAGTTGGTATTTCGACTGCAGATAGGAACCAGCAGGGAAGGGATGGTTAGAGATCCACAGGAAAGACAGATTTCAGAGATATTTAATGATATGTCAAACAATGAAAGCATTCCTTTAAACACAACTGAGTCATGAGGAAAAAATGTAGCCTGGATATCTAAACCTTTTAACTGTTGTATAAACAATACATTGCATCATATTTCTTTCTCCTATTTTCTTCTAATTTTGTGTGGAATGTCAATCAATTCAGTTTTGAAATTTCTTCGATTGCTTGCAACATTCTCAACAACAACTTCATTATATAACTACTGTACATCAGTAAACCATCTGAACCGGCTGTGAAACCACTACTGTATTTTACAGTACTCGTCAAGAGAACAAACTGAAGGTTGTTCTGGTGGAGGACGATCATCATGTAAAATGATGAAAACATGACAGCGTTTTATTTTTTTAAACCTCTTTAAAAGGAATTACAAAGAAACTAAACCAATATTTTCAAACATATTTGGAAGCATCAACGTTTCAAACTTGTTCAACCAAGGTTGTAACAGTGCACTGAGGTGGAACACGGTCGCTTCAGCGCTGCAGAGAAGATGGCGAGGAGGCTGAATGAGTAAATGAGATCAGACCGGGACACAGGTGGTGGCTCGGTGAGTGGTTTAGCCTTTTGGAGCCGTGTACTGGCGGAGGAGAGAGGAGATGGCACTGGAGTCAGTGACCTCCTCCGGGAGCGAGCCCTCCATGTCTTTGATGGACGGGTCAGCTCCGTCAGCAGGAGCTCCACGATGTCGGCGAACTCACACGCAGACGCTTTGAAAGGAGAGACAAACAGAGAGTTTTACTGGGAATAGAAGAGAATATGTTTGTCATATTTACTAATGTTGATTTACCTGGTGATTCATTTATCGTGATTTATCGTGACAGTTATTAATCACAATTAATCATGATTAAAGAAATTACAACTGATCAATACATTCTACAGCTACCCTGAGATTTACAAATGTAATCATCAGTTGTAATTATTTAATTCTGGGCCTCAAACAAGCGTTGACAGTTGTAGTTATTTAATTCTGGGCCTCAAACAAGCGGGAAATCTCACAGAAGTAAATAAAATAAGTCAACACTTTTCAATGGAAGTGTTAAATTCCACCTTTGTTGTGGCAGATTCCATTTCAATGACTTGGTAGCTTCAACGCAGCGTCTGTAGACTAACAGGGCTGTTTGTGTAAATCTGTGTCTTTAAATCAGTGATTTAAAAACTGTTTTTTTATTTCCTTTTTCTGTTCTTTAGATCCGATCCAGACGAGCGACCGAATTATATTTTTATAAATTTGCCCTATTATTTTCCTCAGCGTACAGTAACTCCTCTGACAGTGTGGCACTTAATGAAAAGGCCATTTACAGGCCCAGCTCTGACACTGGCCTGGACCTGTACTTTCCTTAAACACTTCATTTCTGCCCCACTGGCAATTTGTGCTGCCCTGCTAAAAGGCTCCCTCCCTCTGTAAAGGCAGGAAGAATGCATTTTCTTAAACCAGTTAGCTGCTCGCTGTGTTCTCACTGCACCCCCCACCCCCACCTCCATCTGAGTGCTGTACTCCGCCGGTGTTACCGACTCGCTCGTTCAGAAGCGCAGACTCTGCCGCGACGTGATCGCTGATGTCAGCAGCCGCACTGATTGACAGTCAGGCCTTTTAACCTCCAGCCCAGGGGTGACTGGTCAGTCTGATGATGGGAGTGTGCATGAGATATGATGATACAAAGGCATGTGTGTATGTGTGTGTGTGTGTGTAGGCTCAAGTGTGTGAGACATTAAGGAGAATCACTTATCTCTCAGCCAAATCAGTCTAACAAAGCCTGGCTTATTTATCCAGCCCCACTGGCAGTCCTCCTCTTTTTGATGGAAGGAGTTTTTTATTTAGCCAGCAGTGAGTGTGCATGTGGCAGCGCGTGTCTCGCCTGGGCCTTGAGCTGTAAAAAGTGGCTGGCCCTCAGGGGAGCAGTAGAGGAGGAGAACAATTTATGGTGAGCAGTAAACCCTCAATTAATCACTTGCCAGCTACTGTGGCCCTGTGCAAAGAGAGGTGGGAATGAATTTTCATTCTCTGCTATTTGTCTCCTGGAGTTCATCGCTTATGTTTATTAGTCATCTTTTTATGCCCCATCTTTGGGGCTTCCTCTGCTAAGTGTGTGTGTGTGCATGAATCTCTAGCTGTTGATGAAGCATACCAAACCCATTGATACCCGGCCTGGGGACAGATGGTGCAACTACAGCACACACACAGGCTGAGAGGACGAGAGAACCGCCCCTCAGGGACGTGTGTGTTGGGGCACCAGAGGGTCAGGAGTCTAAGGACCGCTGCTGATTTCCTCTGGGAGGCCAAGCGATTATTACACACACACACACACACACACACACACACACTTACAGGGCACAAAAACTGGGTTAAAACCAACTGTAGGAAGTGAAGACAGAAAATGACACAAAAGAGAGAAGAAGATGGAGAAAGAAAAAAAAAACAGGTGCAGAAAAACAAACCCTGACGTTATGAAGTGAACATCTGTAGAAACAACATGGACGTCTCCTTACCGTAATGTAGTGCAGTTTGTCCTTCATTGTCCTTTAAAAGACAACAAAACAAGATTTTAATTCCACAAACATGCAGCTGAAGCAGAATAAAATATCAGGAATGAATCACGTGTTTCATCACAAAGTTCTTTCAACAAACTCCACAGGAAAAAGAGAAAAGTCCAAGAATACAACAGACTTTTTGTGTGTTAGCTGTGGACCAAAGCTGCCATGGTTTCATCCAAGGAAAGCGTGATGATGAGAAGATGAGATATTGATTTGAAAAACACAGGAGCAAAAAAAAAAAGCTTTTAAAATGAAGGTGATTTCCAGCCTTGAACAACATGAACCCACAAAAAGAGACTACCAGAGATGGAGAAACTGTGTTTTTTTGACCAATTATTTATTATTTTTATTACTACCAAAGATGGAGAGACTGCAATTTTGACCAATTATTTATTATTTTTATTATTATTTTTTAGTGTGACTTGCCAATAATGATTTTTGTTCCAATTTTCTTCAATAATCAGGGCTAATCATCCTATAAACTCTCTGATTCTGATTCCATCAAAGCACTTCAGTCATATATTTTTCAAACTCATCTCTCGTTTATAAACAGGAGCTGAAGTAGTAGCTGACTGGCTACAAAATTAGGCTTGTAGATTTTCATTTCTTCCCCAGTCCAGAAACAACAAATCAAATACATTGGATCCACAGAATGAAAAAAAAAATTACTATAAAATACAGATTTTTTTCTTAGCTTTGATTTCAAGAAATTCAGTGGTTTTCAGACAAAGAAAGCAGAGTGAGGGTCAAAGGGTGACACGGAACCAGTGATTGCTTGTGTGTGCGGGTGTGTGTGTTACATATATATATATTTCTGTGTTTGTGTGTGTGTGTTATAATGAGAGACAATATATGACAGACATCATCAACAGGAGATTCCCTTTTTAATGGCGGCTCAGAGCTGCCTCTGCAGCTCATAACGATGATGAATGTTCAAACTGTTGCCACCAGTGTCTGAGAACAAGAGCAGCCACTCAGCCCAGTACAATGGATTCAGATGTTAAGAGCCCGGCGGCACGCCGACACCTCCTTCAATACAGTGAAATGTCACTGCAGTGGAAACGCTTCCAAATGACTAAATCTCTGCCTGAGAATAAAATAAATCATCACAGCCTTCCACCTCTGCTCTTCTACCAGTGTACACTTACTGCTGTTCTTATTTCAGTCCTCCCTTCCTTGGCTTTTACCAATCCCTCCTCCTCATCTGACGTTGAAAGCACACACCTCCCTCATCCCCTTCCTTTTATGATGCCCTCCAATGTCATCTCTTTTTAACCATTTACTCCAACATTTCCTCTACTCTCTCTTTCCATTAGCACATCCACAATTTGTACTCTGTTCCACTCAGCGTCCTCTTTAATCTTGATGCCTTTTTTTTTTCCAATCCCTCTTCCTTGTTTTCCTCACCTTCTTTATTTCTTCCTCTCTTTCCTAAATTCCTACTTTGGTTTGGCTTTACTGCAGAGTGATCCTATTGTCTCACTCTCCCTCTCTCAGGGGCAGCACTTCAGGGACCTGCTGATTGGATTAGAGCTTTTTATTCCCTCTGGGTGCATCACAGAGCAGAGATGCAAATCACCACCAGGGTGAAAACTGTACCAGAGTAAAGTAAGGACAACGATGCCGTCTGTCTGTGATTTCAAAAGCTGGGACGTGACGTGCAGAGAATGTGGTTGTGGTTTTTTTGTTTTTTTTACAGTGATGTTGATTCTGAACACATCTGAGTAAAAATTAAAATATTGTCAATTTCTGTTGAAGAATGTGTGGATGAACGACCAAACCTGGCACAGTTGGACGACGGCAGATGTTTAAAGCCAAGGGTCAAGTCACAGACTCCAACGCAAATAACTACATACACTTATAATTAAAGTGTAAGGGGTTTAAGGCATAATCTGCAGTAAGTTAATCCGTGCTGTTGTTCAACAGACGCACACACACACAACAGCAAGACTGACTGACGGATCAACAGCAGGCGTCACATATATTTACAGCATAAATATAAAGATGAAATACATTAAAAACAATCAATAAAAAACCTGTTGTTGCTGCCTGAGTACAGCACCTGAGTGTGTGCTGTGTGTGTGCTCACAGACTCCCTCTACTGAACGTTCATGTGAGGGGTCAGCGGCCTGTCCTCTCAGCATTCCCTAATGCCCCTCGATCCGGCACGGAGGCTTGATGGAATCACAGGAAATTGGATTGTCTTCCATTTGCTTTGGAAGCAGCATTGAGGAGACTCCCCACTCGCGCCGCTCAGCCTCCGTCACCCCCCACTCCCCGCCCCCCCCCCAGTCACAATACCTGCAGTTAGCTACTGTAGCAACCCTCCCGCCCCCCCCCCTCTTTAGTGCACCCCTGTTTCCACCCCCTTACCCAGGCATGT